AGCTTTTGGAGATAAGTACATGCTTTTTTCAGGTGTATTTTTTCTTAGATTTTGTATAAAAACAAAAAGAAAACTGTATTGGTATAGGGTTGGTCGAATGAATGGCCTCCTAGTCACCAGTTCCGAGTCTTTTCGATTGCTGAGTATGAGGCCTTATGTTGGACAAACGACGGAGTATAAAGGAGGTTAAAATTTAAAAACTTATTAATAAAATTTAAGCAAAACCTGTGGATAATTAACATTAAACTACTTTTTTCGCAAACTCTATAAAGTTCCCTTTTATTTTTCAATAACACCTGTGCAACAGTTATTATTTACGCCCTGTATATGATAAAATATTAATAGCTGGAAAAATGAGTACAAAACTAAGAAAGGAGTACATTTCCAGATATTTTTTTTTGGGAGTACAAGGGAGTACATTACAATAAAAAGCAGCAGCGTTTACTCCCAAAAGCAGTACGTCGGGCAACTCTAGTCGGGGGCGCTCCCCCAAAGGAGCGGAGGCACTCAATACAAAGCGCAAGCAAAAGAAATGCATATTTAACAATTACTGCATACAGCCAAAGGAGCAAAACCAGCAACAACAACGCCAAAGAAAACTCTTATTCTGCTAACATACCATCACAAACAGCAGATGCAGCCAAGCAAACAACATCATCTTGCTCTCCAGCAGTGATCAACAGGGTGTCCAGATTGTTAAAAAAAATCGCACTTTCTGAAAAAAATCGCCAAAAATCGCAAATTTTTTTATATAAAATTCATGAAATGGATTTAACAAATCTTTTGTTTTGAAAATGAGATCTTGTTATAACATACTTTTTAAAGCAAAAAACGAATATAATACCTCCAGATGGTAATAATAAATAACACAAATTACTTATATAATAGTGATGTACAAACAATTTTCTTTAAAAATACGCATACTTTTTAAAAATATTTGTTTCAACACATTTTGCAATAGGACTGCGCATTTATTAAATTTATTATAGCTCATATTAATTGATTCATCGTACAATCCGCTTTTTAGAGCTCGGCGCTAAAAATTTAATAAAAACCTATAATAAGGCGAGATCAGCTATTTCCACAATTTCTTCAAAATTACCTATAGAGCCTCAATGTCTAATCAACCTTGATAACATACTGTTCGATGGATGAGGCAAATAAAATGGTTTCACTTTAATAAAATTTTGGAACTTTTTCTGCAAAATTAATAATATTGAAAATATTAACACATGTTTTAGCGTTGTCACGTACTCAACAGGTCATCCAAAATAATAGACATTTGTCACCGTTGGACCTTTCAAATTGCCCTCTGCATACCTAAACTTGACAATTTTGTCATGTCAAACCAAGGCAAATTTATACAAGGTGGTGTTGATGGCGAATTTAGATTTTCGCCGTGGTACTTCCTAATGTCAAAATAATGGCCCGTAGTCATAGTCAAAATAAAGTCGACTTTAAAGTTAGTTGCAGCTTTTTTGACAGATATCCCATTGAAAATTATGTCAAAAAGCTGCAACTAACTTTAAAGTCGACTTTATTTTGACTATGACTACGGGCCAATGTGTTTGTTGTAAACAAGCCGAATTCATTTTACAACAAACACATCATTTTGACATCAAGAAGTACCGCGGCGAAAATCTAAATTCGCCATCAACACCACCTTGTATAAATTCGCCTTGGATCAAACCAAGGCTTATTAAAAACGGGTAGAAGCGGAAGAGTTGCAAATTAGATTTTTTTTCAATTTCACGTATAAGCTAAATTGTCAAACTATGTTTACATCTGATGAAAACAAACTGAATTGTCAAAATTTGCTTCTACGTGGTTTGTGCCAGTTTGCAGTTAATTTATAATTGTCTAATTTTGCTATTTAGTGCGATATACTATATACGATACTATGTTTTGTGTGAAGTCCTTGATTAAATCAAAGATGGGAAAGTGCGTTCTCTGCCACAAAAAGCGTGTAAAGGGTGGAGTTCCCTTTTTTAAGGTCCCGCAGGAGCCACGCCGGGTGGCTGATTGGAACAGAGCATGTGGCATCACGTTCACAGCAAACCATGTAGTTTGCGGGGAGCATTTCGCGTGCTCCGATTTGATTGGTGGCGCACAACGTACGCACTTGATGTCCAACCCTGTTTCAACGCTCTTTATAAAACCGCCTTTGTAAGTATGCTTTAAGATCAGAGCCTTAGAATATATATGCATGTAGGTGGTAAAATTGAAATATTTTAGTTGTGGAAGTGACGGCGGGAAAGTATGTGAACCAATTGGTTACTTAAGTGATCCCATAAGTGAAACAATTATATCAGAAGTGGTACATAGTGGTTCCGTAGGAACCTCTGCTCAATGTGTGGCATATACTAGTTGCCACACGCAAACTTAGTAAGTTGTTTAATGCCATACATATATATGTATATACTTTTCTACGCAGTTTTCTTCTTCCACAAAACAAATTTCTTAGTTCCATAGTTCTGCAGTGTACAATGGAGCTGGAGATTGCCAATTTGAAAGCGCAAAATAAGCAGCTGCTTAAGGAGAACGCAAAACTTAAAGCCCAGCTGGACGAAAATGCATCTTTGATGTCTTCCATTCGGTCCATATGCACAGACGGACAGGTTAAAAAAATGATTGCAAAAGGTATGTATAAAATTAAACCAAATTCTGTAAATTTGCTGTTAGATTTTATTTGTTTTGTAGACAAAAACGTTATATGGTCGTGGAGCGATATTTCCAGCGCCATATGTATTTACACTGCCGGACCCCGAGCATATAGGCATCTGTATGCGAAAGGCTTCCCCCTGCCACATATAAGCACACTTCAAAGGTGGTACCGTAAATTAGTGTTGGTGAGGGAATGTTATCCGTTGCATTGGACTTAATGCGCCACATTCACGAGCTCACTGCCGTCGAAAAAGTTTGTGTGCTGGCTTTCGACGAGATGAAGGTCACCGAAGCTTTTGAGTATGAGCCTACCGACGACTTCGTCAGGTAGCCGGCAAATTATGTTCAAGTGGTTATGGCGCGCGGATTATTAAAATCCTGGAAGAAGCCAGTATTTTACGATTTTAATTGTAAAATAACCGTCGAACTTTTGCATACAATTATTTCGGCTGTGCAAAATGCTGGCTTCCCTGTTCTTGCGATGGTCTGCGATATAGGCCCATCCAACCAAAAGCTTTGGAGAGACCTCGGCATCACTCCAGGTATATATTTAATTCACTAATACATTTTCTAAAGCTAGTTAACAATTAACTAGAACACCCATGGTTCACCAACCCTACTGATCCAGAGGCGAAGGTTTTCGCATTTGCGGATGCTCCGCATCTGTTGAAACTCATCCGAAATCTTTTTATTGATAGTGGATTTGTTTGGAAAGACCGCATAATAACTGCGCGCGCAATAGTTGATGTTATAAGGTACACATCTGTATCCGACCTATCTATAACATTCAAGTTAACAGAAGAGCACTTAGTTGTAAAAGGGATAGGTATGTTTTTAATAACTATTCTATAATCTCGTAGCTAATATAATTCACTCAAAATTTCAGGCAGACAAAAGGTAAAATTGGCGACACAGTTGCTTTTTAACACGACTGCAAAAGCCATACTGCGCTGCTACGCTCTGGGGTTGGACATAGAAGAAGCGATCGAGACAGCTGAACTAATTCAGTTGGTGAACGATTGGTACGACGTTCTCAATTCCTCCGTTAAAACGTTCAATTATCCTGGAAAGGTTTTATTTCATAAAATTCACAACTTATTATCTGCATGTAATTTACTTAAAGGAACCATTTGGACGGAAGATGCAGCGGCAGCTCGAGATTTTGGGACGTATGAATAATTTCATGTCAGATGTTATCATCCCTCGCAAAAATAGCTTACAATAATTTCAAAGGGGTGGTTTAGTAACAAATAACGCACTGTTACAGTTGTACGAGTATGTGGTAGTGAAGTACAACTTCAACTACCTTGTCACACGGCGTCTCAATCAAGATTTGCTGGAGCACTTATTCGGAAATATACGAGGCAAGGGAGGATTAAACGACCACCCTACGCCGAAGGAGTTTAGGTACAGGCTCCGAAAATACATTTTAGTTAAGTTTGCCAAAAATTATCTTTTAAATGTATATTTAATTGTATATTATCCACATCTGTATACCTAATCTCAAACCAGTTAACGACATTATTCGGGTGGCTATCGGAAGTAGCTGACGTGTGTTATGAATGTCGCAAGGTTATGATAGCGATACGATATTTGTCACTGACTCGTTTGAGAATAGCCCCTCTGAATTATTTTTCAGCAAGGAATGCCGACAATCTGAACAAAACAGGCAACGCCGAGCAGAATTCTGTTGAATGGCTGAACACATCAAACCCGCAGGAGTTGTATGGAAGCGGGGTGTTCGAAAATAGCGCACCAGATGAACAGGATGTAGGAGAACCAGGTCCTTTGGAAGCAGAATCAGAGGTCGCTGACGCTCTGAGTGTCGCTCACGCCAATGGCGATGGCGATGTGCTGGAATACGATCCAGATGTGCTGGAAGGCGAAACTGATATGCTGGAAGGCGATAGTGGTGTGCTGGAAGGCGACAGCGATGCGCTGCATGGGGGAACCGATGTGATACATGGCGATGCTGATGTGCTGCAAGGCGATAGCGATGTGCTGCATGGCGATGCGCTAGAATATATGGCTGGATATATAATTCGCAAGCAACATCTCAGCGAGCACGAAGACACCAGTAACGCAACTTTTACGTGGGTCGATCAGGTGTCGAAATGGTACCTTAAAAAGCCTGCACCCCTTTTTGTAGACCGTATTCGGAGCTTGGAGTCGGTATTCCTTGCAGTTAATTTACAGGAAATAGCGCACTGTAAAAATATAAAGCAGCGCCTTCTGAACAAAGCAGCTAACGTAGACCTTCCAGACAGCGTCAAACAGATTTTCTTTAAATGCCGGATACTGTTTAGAGTACGCCAACTAAATAAACAATTGAAAGTGAAGAAGGCAAAGCAAAGGCTGGTACGCTACAATAAGTTAAATAAAATCACTCTTTAAACTGGTAAAATTAAATATTAAATTATTTACGTTCAAACTTTTAATCATATTTATATTTCAGAAATCGTATCCAATTGAAATTGAGCAGGCATACGTCTTAGTACAAGCTTCCAGGCATTAAACACAGTCAGTACCTACCAGTGTCAGTATTATATCCGCACTTACATTTACATATATATGTTTCTTTTGTATAATAATCTATGTAATAATCTATGTGATAGCTTAAATATTTGATGAACTTAATGATGTGTACGTAAATTTCTATTTTGATTGCAGATGCGTATTTCCGTATCACAATTGGAGTTGTTGTCTGAGCAAATTCAGTTGAAAGCTCCATCATTTGTGGTCACTACCATCAATCAAAACAAGCACATCCACGCGCATTTATATCCAATGGTGTTTATTTACACCTTAGAAGTACCTTCGAATGTTCATAAAACTTTGATACTTTGTACATACCCAGCAAGAAAACGTACATTTTACGAACTTTTTATCCACGACTTTTTATCCAGTTTCTCTTCAAGAAAATATCCAGTTACGAGCTCGTTTACGATGATTTTGCTGGCTGGGTACGTATATATGTATGTATGTATGTGCTTATTTTATCGCATTTAAACTTTTGTTCTTAGTAGGTCTACAAAACGCCTAACAGCTACCATTGTGTCGCCACTTGCTTCTTTATCGACTGCGCTATTAATATTGTGGACTTTATTGAAACTATTTTTAGGTATGTACATATTTAACGAAATTGTCCCTGTCATGTGGGCAAGTGATTTAAATTATGCACGCTTAAAAAAAATACATATATAAGCACGAGTGTGTACGACTTATATGAAACTATTTTGGTAATAATTTGTTATGGAAACACTACAAACAATGGACTATCCCAACGGCAGTTGCCATGCGGCTCTTCGTAACGCATACACAAAGCATCAAATATTTCCCGTGTATATGGCACGTTCGAATTGTCCACTCGATCATCCAACACATCTGCACCAGCGCGCTGTTGGTTAAACTCCCATGCTCGCGCCTATTTACACCCTTTGTAGTAGAGTTAAATATCACCTTTAATATAATTGCCAGCGTCCACGATGACCACATCTTCGTTTCCACAACAGTCGGGGCTACGTAACAGGAACGACGCAGATTCATATCTGGCCACGGACTGTCACTTCAGCTGCACTCCCCAAAAAGGCTTTGAGGAATTTGTATGCTGCTACAATAATAATAATAATAATACCACATCTTCTTTATTGAGCAACCGCAATGCCTCTGATTTAATATCGCTATGCACTTGGTTTTCTTGGGAGAGTCCGCTGAGGGCCGGTTACTCAATGTCTGGTTAACACTAATCTCCGGTAAAACATCGTTATCGACGTTACCGACTCCATGTTATATGCATGGAGCCGAACACGTCGATAATGATGTTTAAACGGAGATTAGTGTTAACCAGACATTGAGTAACCGGCCCTAAGTATTCGTTTTTCGAGAAGCCTTCATTTGCTATAAAAACCATTTATGCGCTATGGTAAAAGACGTTCACTACGGGCCATTCAGTTTCATGGTACAAACACATCATTCAGTTCAATTGTTTTAAACTATATTGGTGCGTATTCATAGTCCAGCAACTATGTCGAAACTAACAAACTCGCAACTTAAATTTAAGTACCAATTTAAAATTTACCTCTATTCATAGTCGCATTTCAGACTTCTACTAAGTAGTTTCGACTTAGTTTACGATATAGCAAAACGAGTGTGAAAATGTATCGATTTTTCTTTACCATATTTTGAAAAAATTACATTTTTATTAAATAATATCAAGTTTGATCATCTGTTTATGAGATTTTTGTTAAAATGGTAATTTTCTGAATTGTCAAACTTGTTTATATTGGTGTAATTTGAAACTCGTTTGACATTTTATGTTTCTCAAGCAACAACAAAATACATGGAAGGGTTGCATTTGCTCTTCTGCTATTACCTGTTTATTGTGCCATGGATCAAACGATACCACCGAGTACAAATAAATGCTCGATACTTTTGTTGCGATACCGAGTATTTTTTTACTCGATGCTTTTCACTCCGATACCAAGTAAGTATCGACACTTTACTTTCGATTCTTTGAGAACCCTCTCTAGATATTTTTTTAAATGCAACGTTGGTACAAGATAATGCTAGTTTCAAATTGCAACGGCAACTCTGTTTGTACGCGATTAAGTGGCAACGACCAGCTTTACCGTCTGCACTCTGCACTAGCCTTAAGTGTCATTCGATTATTTATGTTTTGCATACAGACATACATACTTCCATTTTTATATATAATATTCTTGAACCTGTAAACATCATAAAATCTAACGTTAACAAATCACGCTTTGTACCGTTTGTAGCTTTCTATAAAAGACGAATTTGCAAATAAATAAGTGCCATTATATTCCAGCTGGTTGGTGTGTACAAACATAATCGGTTTTCAGTTGCTTTTGTCATACATATTTTTGGTGCCTCCTGTGAGGACTGAAAGCGCGGTTTTTTATTGTCAAAGTTTCGTATAATCTACGCTGTAAAATAAAAGTAGTTTGCCTTCGCGATTCTAAACGCGGAACTATGGCTGCAATGAATATAAGAAGAGCGGCGAGGAGTTCTATATTACGCATCAGGGCGGAGGTGGAAACCGAAGGTTATACCGCGGATGAGGTGCAAGTGGAGCACGCCATCAGCATTCTAACCGGGCACTATAACCGCTTCATGGACAATCATATCGCGCTAGTGGCCGGAGCCACTGACGAAGAATTGGACGCTCATGAGGAGCTACTAGCGCAAGTGGAGGCGGCTTATGGTTGTGCTGTCACCAAATTGCAACGCATGCGCGCTGGCTCAAATGCCACTGCGCACTCTGAATCTAGCCCGTGCCAAGGTGAACACCGATTAGATCCCGTCAAACTCCCCACGTTCGATGGCCGACAGGAAAACTGGTTGGTGTTTAAGGACATCTTCGAGTCGATGGTACATAATCGCACTGATCTTGACGACACTTACAAAATCAGCCGGATAAGGTGCCAAGCGGTGCCAATGGTTGGCGGCGTATACACTGGAGGCTACAACCAACAATGGGTCATTCCCACGGCAGCCGGTTCTACGTACCGGAATGACTCGGGTTTTACCCGACCAAGGGCTGTTGTTTCGGCGATCTAACCCCGTTTAGGTCGGCGAAGTATCTCAGAAGTTGTCCGTCCATAGGGCTACATCGAGTCAAACCCAGGGCCAGAAACCTACACCTGCTGTGTACTCCGGAGATGATTACACCACAACTCCACCTCAGTCAAGTGTTATGCCTGCGAGGGGTGGAGTCACCTCAGAGTCTGCTCGGGACTACGGACACATAGACAGTGGACCACGTCGTACGTGGCCCCCTGTTGCTCAAACAGAGCAGCCTCCCCGGCTAACCACAGTCCGCCCGAGCAGCCTCACACAGTCACCACAACACAACAACATAATAACACCACAGACCATACCACAGCCACGACAGACCACATAACACACACAACCACACCACCACCTACACGCCGCCGCCAACAACTCCTGGTTCCCCCTACAATCTGCACGGTATGTCAGACCAGGATATTCCGTAATGTGACATCAGTCAAGTGCAACACCTGCCTTGGCTGGTGCCACTTTAGGGCATGCTCAGGTCTGCGTACCACGCGATATTGGACTGGGAACTTCGAGGGCCCGTGTTGCGCTGCTCGGTTGCAGACCCCAATTGCGACGCCCTCCGCCACCACCACAGGGCGGCAATAATCATAGCAGCGCACACAGCCAACGGCGGCAAGAACACACACATCACTTACACCCCACATCACGACATGTCTCCCGAACCACATGAAGCTCCTTCAATTTAACT